GTTTGATTCCCTTTGTTATGCATCAACATTGTCCTATAATAGATCCAAATTAGCTCCACGAGCCATACCTAGTGTTTTCTTAGGTTATGTTACAGGTACAAAAGGATACAAACTTCTCAATCTCCAAACAAAGGAGACTTTTGTATCCCGAGATGTGACTTTCCATGAGAACATTTTCCTCTTTGCTTCCCCCAACCCACTGACCTTTCTACACTTTCCACTAATCCTCTGGATTTGTCCACCATAATATCCTTAGACACACCTCTCCACTTACACATCAGCACACTACCAAATTCAACACATACATAGCCACTTCCCATCCCTCAACCATCTGACATCATCATTCCCCAACAGCACCTACTCCGCCATCACAACCAGAGGAACCTCAGTTACGAAGATCCACAAGACAGAGCAACCTTCCATCTTACATCTCAAGTTATCACCATAACCTGAAAACCAGTGCCAACGCTTGCCAATCCACACAACCTCTCACTGTAAGCATCCTTTGCAATCTGTACTTTCTTATTCTAACTTGTCACTCACACACAATCACTTTGCATTAGCCCTCATGCAAATTCTGGAACCTAAAACCTACAAGCAAGCTATCAAGAATCCAGAATGGGTTAAAGCTGCACTACTAGAGCTTAAAGCTCTTATAGACACTAAAACCTAGAAATTGGTGGATTTACCTCATGGTAAAATCCCAATAGGCTGCAAGTGGGTATTCAGAGTTAAATACAAGTATGATGGATTCATAGAACATTACAAAGCTAGGTTAGTTGCCAATGGTTACACTCAAACCTATGGCATAGATTATTATGATACCTTGAGCCCGGAGCCAAGATAACTACCATTAGAGTTCTGCTTACTCTAGCTATTATTAACAACTGGCACCTTCACCAATTATATGTTAATACGACTTTTTTACATGGAAACCTCGATGAAGAGGTCTACATGGTTCTACCCCCTAGACTATCAACTGACTAGGGCTAGGAAACGGTGCGGTCTGGTCCAGACCAGACCATATATACGGTCTACGGTCCATACCGAGATGCTAAAGTACAGACTACAGACCAGACCACAAATTATACGGTCTGGTCCAGACCACGCCTGTGCAGTCTGGTTCGGTCTGGTCTGGTCCAGATAGACCACACTGAATGAAAAATGAACAATTTGTTTAGTCAACCACACAAAAAGTTGAACCAATAACCAAGAAAAATAGTTGTTATTTTCCTTAAAACGTTAATCCTAACATGCATGAATAATTTTGATACCCTAAATCTTAGTACATAAGAAAGATACAAAGTAAAAGCATCCCAACTTGCACCATAACGTCATAAAAATCAACATAATGTCATATGGAGACACAATTATCTCTACTATCTGGTTAAATGCGGTTGTGAATGAAGGAGGGACGAGATTCACAAAATTAAGGTTGAGACTTGGGTGTCGTTGTGAGAGTTGAGAGAGTGGTCGAATGGGTTGTTAACACGTATTGACAAGTCGGTTGGGTCCATGGTTTGGTACGGTAAACCGCAGTCTAAACCATACCAGACAAAGAGATCAAAACATAAAATAATACAGACCATGGACCAGACCAGACCATACTTAACGGTCTACGGTCCGGACCAAACTGTGCGGTACGGTTTGAACCACGGTTTTTCTAACGGTCTGGTCTATTTTCCCAGCCCTACAACTGACCCTGCTGATGCAAACAAAGTTTGCAGGTTAACCAAAAGTCTATATGGCTTGAAACAAGCCAGTAGACAATGGTTTCTTAAACTAACATCTACACTTATATCTATTGGTTACACACAGTCCAAATCGGATTACTTTTTGTTCATTAGAGCCACACCTACTTCATTCACAGCTCTACTTGTTTATGTGGATGATATAGTATTAACTGGAACTGATATATCTGAGATAAATAGGATAAATGAGCATCTAGATAAAACCTTTACTATAAAGGACTTAGGCACGCTTACATATTTTCTTGGAATGGAGTTGGCTAGATCTACTGCAGGAATACACATGAACAAGAGAAAATATGCTCTGGAAATCCTAGCAGATCCAGGCATGTTGGCATCCAAGCCTGTCAATTCTCCTTTTGAACAAAGCCTCCAATTGTCACAGACAGAAGGCGAACTCCTCCATGAAGAAGAAGCGACCAGCTACAGGACATTAGTTGGCCGATTACAGTACCTCTACAACACCCGACCATACTTGCAGTTTGCTGTTAATTATCTGGCTTCGTTCGTCTCCAGTCCTAGAACTCCTCATCATCAAGCAATTCAAAGGGTCCTTCGATACATCAAGGCAACTCCATCTCAAGGTCTCTTCTTATCAGCAAAGCCATCAATTGCTCTTCATGCATATACTCATGCGGATTGGACAGATTTTCTCGACACCAAAAGATCAACATCAAGTCATTGTGTCTTCCTTGGACACTCTCTAATCTCCTGGGCTGCTAAAAAACAACAAGTCATTTCCCGCTCCTCAGCAAACGCCGAGTATCGAGCTATGGCAGAAACCACTTCTGAGATGCAATGGTTATCCTATCTACTCTAGGAACTACATCAGCAAATCAAACTTACTCTGCATATTCATTGTGATAGCAAATCTGCTGTTCATATGGCATCCAACCCAGTCCATCACAAGCGCACAAAACACATAGAATTAGACTGTCATCTTATGCGTAATCAAGTGCAACGTGGTTTCATCACTGTCGAGTACATCCCAAGCGAGCAACAACTTGTAGACCCATTCACAAAGCCAGTTGGAGTTTCTATCTTTCAATAGCTTATATCCAAGCTGCCCATTCATTCCATACATGGTCAGCTTGTGGGGGTGTTGAGGGAAACGGTAAGATTTCCGGGTACTTAGAGTAGTTAGGAACATTGGTTCAGGTGTGGACCAGATAGATAGGTTAGGAGTTAACCAATGTATAGTTAGTTGAGTTGCATCGAGTCATATATAAAGGGAAAACAATATACATGTAAGAACTTAACGATTCCAGTTTATTCCCTTGTATTGATTTCCTTATTCAATCAATCAACTTTGTTAGAATTTGACATAAGTACACGTTCATTTTCGAATACACGCTATTTGATCTGTAGTAATTGATTGATTAAAGACTGTTGAGAATACTATATCTTGATACTTTCGTACCCATTGTGTTTTATTTGACCATGCATATTCAAATCCTTGGCACACAAGGGAAAATCTCTCCATACAACCAAATGCACGAGAAAGTAAAGGATCATAGACATTATTATCATTATGTCGAGACAACAATTGTATTAATAAAAAAAAAGACAACAATTGCATTTCAAACAACCTTCTATTCTGTTTGCGGCGACCTTGTCCTTGCATGAGTACCTAATTAATATTTCATATACAATCGAAAATAATTATAAGTAATAAATTCCTATTTATTCAAAATAGATATTTTAGATCAATATTAATAATATTATAAAAATTGGTATATGTATAAAGACATATATTACATATATATGTATTATTATGTTTTACCGATATACATAATTGTGTATACTTATTTTCTTTGTCCCGAACATGGGCTCACAACAACAATAATAACACTTCTCTATTATTAATTGTATTAAATGCAATCTTTCTAATTTGGTCCAGCCATAAACATGTTTTTTTTTTTAATTTTTGTAAAAATTTAAAGGGAGATGAGATGTGTAACACCTTAGGCAAATCCCACATCGACAAAGCACGGGAGAGATCCATGGTTCATAAGTAAGAAACCGGCCTTAACTGACAAGACGCGTTTTGGGGTGAAATGGAAGAGTTCTTGTGAGAACTCCGAAGTTAAACGTGCTCAGTGTGGAGTACAACAAGGATGGGTGACCTTATGGGAAGTCACCTTGAATTGCACCCCAAGTCGAAATCCGTGCGGGTGTAGATGCCCAAAGCGGACAGTATCTTGTCGGGAAAAGGTTCGGGATGTTACAAGTGGTATCAGAGCCTCTCCGCGTCCCTCTTGAACGATGGTGGGGCAAACCTCAACGAGGGCGTTGAGTCCCGAGGGGGGGTGTATGTAACACCTTAGGCAAATCCCACATCGACAAAGCACGGGAGAGATCCATGGTTCATAAGTAAGAAACCGGCCTTAACTGACAAGACGCGTTTTGGGGTGAAATGGAAGAGTTCTTGTGAGAACTCCGAAGTTAAACGTGCTCAGTGTGGAGTACAACAAGGATGGGTGACCTTATGGGAAGTCACCTTGAATTGCACCCCAAGTCGAAATCCGTGCGGGTGTAGATGCCCAAAGCGGACAGTATCTTGTCGGGAAAAGGTTCGGGATGTTACAAGATGCCTCTAGTATAACTTTAATTGTGTCTCTTTCAAAAAAAAAAAACTTTTAATTGGGTCGTTGGGATATTTTTCCCGACCTTGTAATTATTTTATAGTTTATTGAGAAAAAAAAAACAATTGAGCTTTTATTTCTTTTTCTAATATATGTTGGTTAGGATTTCATGAGCCATTAATCAATTGTTTAAACCTAGCAGCTAATTCATATATCCTACATTTGGCCCAACTTATAAATTTTTTTTTATACGTCACAGCTAAAGTCGGGTCAAATTCTTTTATCATCATTTTGAACAAGAGGCATTTTAGTGTGCTTTATAGTATTGGTGCTATAAAACGTTTACAGCCATTAGATTATCTTCAAAATATATCAGCCATTAGATCTTATTTAGATTATTAATATATTGTTTTATTTGTTTATGGTCAACCGGTACAACCGGTTGTACGTGAAAAAAGTTGGAAACCCATTCTCTTATCCTTCTCCTCTCCGAGCAGATCTGAGACCCTCTTCTCACCGCCGACATCCATTCTTGCTGTCACCGGAAATGCAGTTACCGACTCCAACTCCAAAGGCAGCGAATCTCTTCCTTTGATCTCGCATCGTCTCTCTACTCTTTGACCATCCCGTACAAAAAATTGGAGCGTTTTTTTTATTATGATCGGAGCCCTATGCCTACGGCGACGAGGTTCTTACCTCGAGCAGCTACTCCCGTCCTAGCCCCGATCTGGTCCCGCTTACGGATTTCAGGCCGGCGGGGGCATGCCTGCCGGTGATTCTGAGTACGGATCCAGATATGGTGGGAGGACTGAGATCGGTGGCGGAGGCGGATATGGCAGGAGGATTGAGATCGAGTACGGATTTGGCAGCCCCAACAGCTCCGCCGCCTCTTCGCCCTTTGTAACCACTCCTGCCACCGTTTCCCCAAGTTAATTCAACGTTCAGAATATGGAGAGGCCGCGGCAACGGCGGCCGTCGAAGATGTCGATGTGGAGAAGCTCGGAATTGCTCTCTCTCATAGCTCTGTGCTCGTATCCGTCTTCTGCAAACCGCGGGATGTTGGGATTCGGGATCAAGAAGAGGAAGAAAAAGGAGGAGATGGTCTGATGGGTTTGGGAGATGTATTGCAGAGGTTGATCCCTCCGGCTCTGATGATCTCGCCCTCTAATGGGCAGCTCGTAGGTTTTGGTCGAGCTGTTTCAGATTCAGGATTGACTGCATCCATCCATGATGTGGTGGTAAAGTTTAACTACAAGAAAGATTCCAGTTGAAAATTTTGCGTACCATTGCGTTTGAAATTTTGGAGTTTGGCTTGTTGTGGGGTGGATGATGTTCATATGATTTGCGGTTTCTCAGTGGCTTCCATTCCCCAGGTTGTCCCTCAGTTGCGAGGAATGGGAATTGGGAAGATGATCCTTCAGAAAATCACAAGGTAGTTCCTTTATGCAGAGTCTTGGAGCTTGGCCAGTGGTACCTTTGCCGAGTGCCAAAAAGATTTTGATTAGTGTCGTGGGTTTCTCCTTTATGTTGATTTCAGAATACTGATTAGCAGAGACATTTATGACATTGCAGCCCTTTGCTCTGCCAATGAGAGGTAATTTAAGCGGAGCCATCTTCCCATTGATTCTCTGCTGTTGTTAGGTTGATTGAATTAAGGGTTTGAGTGTGGTTCTGGTTTGGGTTTTCCAGATCGTTCTTCAAAGCTTGTGGGTTTGGAGATGACATTTTGGGATCTACCACAATGATGTACACAAGGACTGCTCCAACCTGTGATAATGCTGGTGGAGATTATCAGAATCACATGGCGAAACGTGTAGGCAGAAAACTCTTGCTAATTCCACCTCCCAGAGAGTTACCTTCTCTTAAGGTAACTGTTGGAGAATCTGCAGAGGACTGAGCTTGTATAGTTCAACTCCACAGCCATTTGGATAGAATATAGACTACAGCAGAGATCCCAGTCCCAGGTTAGAAATCGATTGTTGTACTCTGGTCTAGTCTCTTAGATCAATATATTTACTCGTTTTCGCCATGTGGGATTCTGTTGAAATTTCGACTATAAGCTTAAGCTTTACTACCTTATCCATCTATAAACTAATTTAATCTTTACAGTGTCCGAACAGAGAGTTTCGTGTCATTGACAAGTTCTGTATTCTCTTCTCTCTTTGCTTGTTTGTGGTGCACTTTCGACAGCCAAAAACGGGTTTGGCATTTTGTCCTTTGATTAGTGGTTTTGGCATAAGAAATTCAATTTGCTCTTTCACCAAGTAAAGTAGTAATGCAGAGTGCAGACTACTGGGTTGCAGATAATGCATTGTTATTCTCTTTTCTTTTCTGCTTGAACCCACTTTGTGAAAAGTAGAACCAATCGATCTCAGGTAGAAAAGTAAAGGCAAAAGTTCATTTCTTTTGATGAGCATCTCTATGTGCATTCGTCCACTCTGATTCCTGCAATGGGTGGTAAGATATGGGTAGAAGTAAGTCTCATCTCTGCTCGAGGCGTTAGGCGTTCTTATTCCCTCTGGAAGAGGCAGTTGTTTCCTGCTGTTTGGATTGTTCCCGATAACAAGTGCTGCACGCCTGCACCAACATCGCAAAAGATGGCTCTGGAAATGCAAACCCCACATGGAAGACCAAGTTTGCTGCTTTGCTGGATGATACGATTTCCAGGACATGGCGCTAACTGTTGAAGTCTATAGTCAAGAGCCCATTTTCCTCAGGGAAAGCCTTTGAAGGGACCGCGACCATCCTCTTTGAAGAATCTCTGGCAAAGTACAGCAACAAGAAGGCCTCCTCCTCATCTGGGTCTGAAGAAGTCGGGAGCTACTAGCTGTGCAAACGGAACTCTAACAAACCCCAGATTTTGTTGATGTTTCGATCCGGATCACCGAGGAAAGAGAAGAACCTAGTTCACACCTGGTTACAGGTACTCGTGGAATTGTCTTGTTGCATGCAATGTAGTAAAAATCCCAAGTCAACTCCTATGCTTGCTAGTACATCAATGAACTTGGTAGAATTTACGCTGTATATGCTTCTACCTCTATTTCATGATTGCATATTTGGACAGGTTACGCTTATCGATATTGCATATGGATATCACGATCTTGTTATGGTACTATTTGGCAAAATTTGCAGGGTGTCTTGGAACTTTTATGCGATTGGTAAGATTAAAATCTTTAGATTCTTGGATTCCAGCTTACAACTCAAATTTTACATAGGTTTTTGATTTCGTGTATGTAGACTTTATAGTTTGACTATCTGGGATGTTAATGAATGAACGCTGAATGTTCAAGAGTTGTGATTTCGTGTATGTGAACGTTATGAGATGCGTCAGGAGACAGTGCGTATGGCTCTGGAGGTTACCGGAGACAAGATAGCTCCGAGAAACCTGCTTATGGGATGCGCCACAATGATGATTACGATCACGATGACAAGGAGGAGTCTCGCAGCCAGTATGGCTATGATAGTGGTGAAGAAGGCTATGGCCGCAAGAAATATGTAAGCTTTTCACACACCCTTTTTCATTTGGCTGCTTGAATATCTATGTGGCTTCGATATTGGCATATTGCTAAGTAGTTCATCCATTTCTGGTTTACTTTCCAATATGGAAGTTTCATTTTTGTTCGTTGCTGCAGTGACTGATTTTCTACCACAAGGTGGAAGCTTTTTATGATAACTATATCTTTGGTATTGGGAAACAAGCTGAAATTTGGTTGTATAATTGGACCTGATAATTGGTGCTTGAAGAGTTATAAGTGTAGAGGTTATTGAATTTTGAAATGAGTGATTAGTTTGTGTAAGTTACTCTCTGTTGCTCCTTTTATTGAACCTCCTAGTTTTAGTTATGTTTGGCCTCGCTCTGTTTGTTGATTATTGGATGGTTTTCTTCTCTTTTTCATTCTCTTGAGGTTTCTCTTTCTACATTTCACTGATGGAATTGGTGCACATTCTTTTCTTACAGGGTCATTTCAAAGAGCTCTTATTAGAGCATGCACCACCTCCTCCCGCCCTTGCTGAATTCGCCATTGCGAACTTGATCAAGATGGGTATTCCACAAAGAGCAGCAGAAGGTTCTATAGCAATTTGCTCCTGCCACAGAGAAGCTAAAGTAGGTGAATGGTATATATGGCCAAGATGGGGTAGATGCTTATCTCATCACCCCATCTAGCTAGATCTTATCAAAATCTTTTCCCAATCGAGCCATTCATCGAGGTATCTGCACGCCAATTGGAATTGAGCAGAGTAGCTTCAAAAACTTGCTTCAGTTGTCGAGAGAGCCTTCTCACTCCTGGTAGGTTATGCAAATACAAATGTTCTATTTGCAATGTTATCTGCTGGAAATCAATATACGTGGATAGTTTTTGGCAGCAGACTCGGGTAGTGAGTTACTTTAGCAAGAAACTAGCAGTATAGATCATGCACGACTGAAGTTGGTTATATGTAAGATTTACGAGATATTTCTCTGGTGCTACCACTTGGGGGCTATAAAATCTGCTGCTGGCACTATACTTACTTTTGAGTTTGTAATGTCTTGACTGTTTCTTGGTTTTCTGAAATAGTTTTGTGAACATAACAGTGGAATCTTCTATGAACTGCATTGTGTTTCATTCGATACTTCTTGTATTTCATATGTCAGTAGATTCTGAAAGTTTCACGGCTGGGAACCTCACGGTCGTTAGAGCAACCGTGAAAGAAGAAATTGTCCCCCAGCACTCCTCCTGGAGTTCTCATGCCCTGTGTTGGATATTCTCACAGCCGTGAGATTAGTCCGGGAAAATATTAAATTGATCCCTTGTCTCCAGAAGTTCTCACGGCCTACTTAATTGTATCACCCGCCCGTGAGATCGAACCTGTGCCATTGGCCCTCGAAATAGCAACCTTAACCACTCGGACTGCATCAATTTATTTGGGGCTTAATTGCAAGTTTGGTCACTCGAATTGCTATAAAATTTCATGTTTGCCACTCAAATTAATTTATTCCATTTATAGTCACTCGAATTAGTTGAACAGTTCAAGTTCGGTCACTCTCCCTTAACCTCCGTTAACTTTGACTGACGTGGCGGTCAACTCTGACAGTTGACCGTTAAATGTGTGACGTGGCAAATAAAAAATAATTAAAAAATAAAAATTAAATTTTTAGAAATTACACACATTAAATGGGTTTTTGGTTTAACCCATCTAATTGTCAACCAATGTGAGATTGGGTTTAGGGTATATGGCTGAGTGACCGTTTGATTACGATTTTGGGTTTAACCATTCTAATTGTCAACGGATGTGAGATTGAATTTAGGGTATATGGTTGAGTGACTGTTTGATTATGGTTTTGGGTTTAACCCATCTAATTGTCAACCGATGTGAGATTGAGTTTAGGGTATATGATTGGCTAACCATTTGATTACGGTTTTGGGTTTAACCCATCTACTTGTTAACCGATGTGGGGTTGGTTTACAGTATATGATTGAGTGAGCTTTTGGATTACGGTTTTTTGAACACATCTAATTGTCAACCAATGTGAGATTGGGTTTACGGTATATGATTGAGTGAGCTTTTGATTACGGTTTTGGGTTTAACCCATCTAATTATCAACCAATGTGAGATTGGGTTTAGGGTATATGGTTGAGTGACTGTTTGATTACGGTTTTGGGTTTAACCCATCTAATTTTCAACCGATGTGAGATTTAGTTTAGGGTATATGGTTGAGTGACCGTTTGATTACGGTTTTGGATTTTAACCCATCTAATTGTCATCCGATGTGAGATTGAGTTTAGGGTATATGGTTGAGTGACCGTTTGATTACGGTTTTGGGTTTAACCGTTCTAATTGTAAACCGATGTGGGGTTAGTTTACGGTATATGATTGACTGAGCTTTTGATTATAGTTTGGGTTGAATCCATCTAATTGTCAACCAATGTGAGATTGGGTTTACGGTATATGATTGAGTGAGCTTTTGATTACGGTTTTGGGTTTAACCCATCTAATTATCAACCAATGTGAGATTGGGTTTAGGGTATATGGTTGAGTGACTGTTTGATTACGGTTTTGGGTTTAACCCATCTAATTTTCAACCGATGTGAGATTTAGTTTAGGGTATATGGTTGAGTGACCGTTTGATTACGGTTTTGGATTTTAACCCATCTAATTGTCATCCGATGTGAGATTGAGTTTAGGGTATATGGTTGAGTGACCGTTTGATTACGATTTTGGGTTTAACCGTTCTAATTGTAAACCGATGTGGGGTTAGTTTACGGTATATGATTGACTGAGCTTTTGATTATAGTTTGGGTTGAATCCATCTAATTGTCAACCAATGTGAGATTGGGTTTAGGTTATATGGTTGAGCAACCGTCTGATTACGATTTTGGGTTTAACCCATCTACTTGTTAACCGATGTGGGATTGGTTTACGGTATATGATTGAGTGAGCTTTTGATTACAGTGTGGGTTGAGCTCATCTAATTGTCAACTAATGTGAGATTGAGTTTAGGGTATATGGCTGAGTGATCGTCTGATTACGGTTTTGGGTTTAACCGTTCTAATTTTGGGTTGGATACATCGATCGTAAATTCCCATAAAATTCGTACCTCGGCGAGCTACCCAGCCACAACATTCCCTTCGTCGCCACCCCATCACCGAGATCTGGGGGTTCTCGATCCAAGTCTCAAGCGCTTCAATCAGCTACTCCTCCGCCTGCCCAGCCACCACTCGGTTCACCTCCGCCGCCACTTGTCCCGACCCCTTCTCAACCACAGCCATCCTCCATCCCACCCATGTCCTCCGCCGCCTCCAGAGTAGCTCAACGCAGATGCGCTAGGACCATATTAAAGCGAAAATTCGTACTGCTCGCTCAGCTATGAAAGGGTGCGTCGTTTGGAAACTGGCGCCCCCTCCCTTCCTAACCCCTGCTGCTGCTACGTCATTCTCTCCCCCCTCGCCTGGTGGCTAGTTGTTTTGTGAAGAACGGCGTAGTTGAGGTGCGTGGAATGCTCTTCTGCACTCATTCATTGAATTGATGTTCTTGTTTTGTCGAGCTTTTTTTTGGGTATATAGTGATCGTTGTTGGTGATCTTCAATTTTTCTGTTGTTCTTTGATTTCAGTTCAGCTCGATCCGCTCCATCTAGAAGCAAGGACGGAGTTCGCGTACCGCGGCGGCGGCGGCGAAAGAGGGTATAATTTTGGCGCCTGCTCTGTTGTGTGACTCGTAAGGGACGGATTGGCGTTGAGATTTGGTCGTATATTTTGGGTTTCCTTCCGATTTCAGAGCTCTAGAAGGGTTGGTGTTTCTTGAGTAGCTCTGCTTCGAGGGCATCCATAACTTGGATTTATACATGGCTTTCTCGTTGTAGCCTTGTTCCGTGTCTGTTCTTCTCTCTTCTCGCCAAGCGTAAGCTAGCATTCTCCTGTTTATGTATGTTCTCCTATTGATTGTTGAATGCTAAGTTGTTACCCTTTACTGCTGTTGTGCTAAGTTGTACCTTCAACTATTGTTGGTAGATGATCCTATGCTTAGATAGTCCTCCATGGCTGTTCAGGGCAGAGACCAACCAAAGCCAGTTTTCCATGTCTACTATAGCTTCTGTAGGCTTGCATCAGATTGTTGATTTCTAGGTCGATACAATTTGTTGACATGTAGGTAGATTGCATTAAGCATATTCTTCGCCTCAGGACTATTTATAGCGACCATTCTTACATTATTTCCAGAAGCCCAACCCCAAAACCAAAACGAAAATAGTCACTTAGCTTGTTGATTTTCGAAAGACTCAAAATGATAAGGAAGCCAGCGACCCTCTTCTCTGCTTCTCTTGCGCTTTTGACGTTCCAATGTTTTAGGGTTCTCTGTGTCGCCCAGGACTTCGATTTCTTCTACTTTGTCCAACAGGTATGTGCGGTTTACATATATATAGCCAGCCGAACTATTTCTTCTAGTTCCATCCATAACGTGGTCTCTTCTCTTCTCTTCTCTTCTCTTCTCTTCTCTTCTCTTCTCTTCTCTTCTGTGTGTGTGTGCAGTGGCCCGGAGCCTATTGTGACTCGAGGCAGAGATGCTTCTACCCAAAGACAGGCAAACCCACAGCCGATTTCGGGATCCATGGTCTCTGGCCTAACTACAAGAACGGCGCCTACCCTTCCAACTGCGACCGTGACAGCGTCTTCCACGAATCACAGGTTGGTTGGAATTAATTACCGCTGTGTCAGGATTTGGAAAACCTTGCAGGGAATGTTTCAGGATTTGCCCGTCAGGTTATTCAACCAAGATTCGCCTTAATCTTATTACAATACTATAGACAAGTTTGTGTTGGCCAATAAAACAATTTATACATTGTCACGATTCAAATACCCTGACTCAAAGTGCACCGTGGTCTTTTACACGAGTGGACATGATGTGCATTGTTCTTGTGGCATTTTTGAGTTCTGCGGAATTCCATGTCGGCATATATTCTATATATTGAAAGCAGAAAATCAAATACAAATTCCCAAGTCACTCATTTTGAAGCGTTGGACTAAAAATGCAAAAGAGTTCGATCCCTCGAGTATTGGAAGCTGTCCTACCCAGCAAAATATTAGCAGGCATTATAAATTTAAGCTGCTGATTTAGTTCTTTGTTTACTTCTATTGTACTTCGAACCAACTACAAAAGTGCTTGTTTATTTGGACAGGTTTGGATTCTTGGTTGGTCAATGTAGTAGAATGTGCCATTATGCTGTGAGTTCAGATGAAGCATTTCATACTGCCAAAGGGTTGATTGAAGACTTATAAGCATTTGCCGCAAATTTTAGGTATGTCATTTCCTTTTTAAAAGAGCATGGCAAGGAAGTGTACACTGAAGTTCGCACTGCGTACATTGACACAATGAACAAGGTGGTCTAATCTGTCTTGTATATTTTATAGGATCATGGTACCTGTACCAGTATAATTGCAGGCGAGGAAGCAGGGTCCTAACTTCTATTCCCGAGCTTTGAGTTTGCAGGTTCTAAGTGCATGTTTTCGTGCATACATTCAAGCGCTGGAGAAACTACAGTTCGATATAGCAACTTCGAGTGATTTAATTGGTGTGGAGACCGGAAGTATTGGCTTGTTTTCGAGAGTCAGAGAGCCGCTGAAAAATCGATCAGCTGTTTTTGCTTTGGGAGATAGGATTAATATCTTGAAGGTAAACATACTTCTCCCTAGTTTTCTCTCCTGGCCAACTCCCTCTTAAGCTACTTTATTTCTATACTGGGTTCCCTGACTTATTCCTAAAGGTTTGTGGCAATATTATAGTCTATAGATACTTCCTTTGTTGAACTCATGCATGATGCCCTCCTTCGATAGCATAAAAGCAAGTGTATGCATGGCTGAGATTAAAGAACATTATTTACATGTCAAACCTTGTGTGGATTAACATGTTAGTCATACTGAAACTTCTTATATTTATTGGTGCATAATGTTGTTTGGCTTGAGACTCCTCCTTGGCCCCTTGAAACCTTTGCTATTAAAATTTGAAACCTTCCCTCACTTCAATTACTTTTACAGGACATTGAGCAGCCAACATTGATTCCACATATAGCTGAAGCCAGTTCCCAGAAGTATCCTTATGAGGTCATCTTCGGGAGCTTACACAGGCTACTACTGGATACAGCCACTTCAGAGTATGATGGAATAGCTTTCAGATACTTGTTCCTTCTAATTTTCCTTGCTGGCAGTGTATGGATTTTGATTTCTCCTCGTCGTGCAGGTATCTTTTCTGTGATAACTTCTTTGGGGAAGAGGCCATGTTTAATGAAATATTTGCTGGTAACAGAGAGATATTGGATGCCTGCATATAATTATCGATGATGCCTAAATATCAATATCATAATGCAATTGTTGATTATGTCTGTATGGATTTCTTAGGTCCCCTTACTGTGATTGATGAGCACTTCAATTCCATACTGCCAAACAGTTATGATGCAATGGGCGACGAGTTCCCTGTTTGGACTCATATCTTGACAAGGTTAGTTATCTTTATTTAAGCACTAGTTGGAAAACGAAGGCTAATTATGTCTCTTCCAATTTTCAGGATAAGTGATCACAGCCTCTAAGATCTTTTATATATCTGCACCTTGAATTGAATATGGAAAGGCTCAGAATGGCTATTGATGACTTGATTGTCAAGCTTGCTAAAACATTCACAAAAAATGAACTTAATATCGTTTGCGATTTCAGTGTGAAGGAAAGTTTATATTTTAATTCTTGTTTACTTTTCCTTAATGAATTGCAGGCAGGCCCTGAAGGTGAGAAAATTCAAATTCATTTTGAGGAACTGCTGAAGAGCAATACAGCATTGTTCGTGGTAAGGATGATTCACAGACATACAATATTTTATGCAAGGGAAATAAAGGTTAAAGTACTGCTGGATCATGGTAGAGCATCATGTATTTAAGTGGAACATTGAAACTGCTCTTTTAGGAAGAAGCTTAAACCTGGAAAAATTATGCACTCCAGAACGTCTTTGGTTGTGCCCTAACTCCATGTCGAAGTGCTTTTTTCGGCTTTAGCTTTCTTCTCACAGATCTTTCCTTGCAGGAGGAACTCCTTGTGGAGCATTTTGCGGACCTAATCAAGTTCGTCAAGACACGAGCTTGTGGGCATTTGAACCGAACAACAAAGATGAGCCAACCGAGGAAAACAATGAAGAGGACAAGTGCGCCGACAAGAAAAAGGGCAGTAAAGAGAATGACGAGCACACTGAAGATGACGAAAGCAATAAAGATAAGTCAACCCAAAAAAGCAATAAAGAGGACAAGTGCACTGACGAGGAAGAGCGGCAGTGAAAATGAGCCAACCAAAAAATCTTGTTGAACTATTTAGTCCTTAGTACTTAGTTATGTCTGTTTGCATTTGTGCTTATGTATTTTTCAATCAGAATATGATGATGCAGCTCAACTTAAGTTAGTACTTAGTTATGTCTGTTTGCGTTTGTGCTTATGTATTTTTCAATCAGAATATGATGATGCATTGGTGTGGACTACATGCAGCTCAACTTAAGCATTGATTAGACAAATTTAATCGTGTTATGGATGATTGTTGAATTAGACAGATGTAATGCTTTGGCTGCTTTTACTTTTGTTTACAGGGTATCTAATATGATATATTGCTAGCTCTGGTTCCACTTAAATCATGACAGGTTGTTTCAATTTGTAAACAATCTATGCTATGAAACAATCACATTTCACGGGTGAGAGATTTGTAACTCCAAGTCCGTTAGAATGACTAGGATATAGCGAACAACGTGTACAACAAAATTTGCTTCAAGTTAATTTACATTTTTATGAATTTTATGTGATGGTCAATATTTGTTTTCAATTAATTTTTTTTCAAGGATTACTACTAATTTAAATACTATACAACTATTCTTCTTCATAAGTTTGGAGTTCTGGTAATCTCACGACCGTAAAATACTCAAGTGAGATGTAAAAAGCAGTGTTTCATTCCTCAGGCAAATATCACGACCGTGAGATGTCCCGTGAGATGCAAAGAGCAGTTCTCACTATCCCATGAAATTTCACGGCTACTACTTGACATTATCACGCCCGTCAAAATCTCACATTCAATTGAAACACACAGCTGCCACTCAAACGTTCGCACAGCTCATTTTGTCAAAATAACAGCCATGGAATTAAGATGTACCTACACTTTCTAGAGTTGTACCTTTACACTAAACTTAAAGTTGACCTACACTTTCCTAAAAATCTTCTATGGTACAATTAAAAATTGTACCTATACACTAGGGTACAACTTTTAGTTGTACCTACACTTTCTCAAAATCCTTCTATGGTACAACCCAAACTTGTACCTATACCATGGTACAACTTTTAGTTGTACCTACACTTTCTAACAAATCTCTTTATGGTACAACTAAAAATTGTACCTATACTAATGGTACAACCTTAAGTTGTACCTACACTTTCTCAAAATTCTTTTATGGTACAACCCAAACTTGTACCTATACCATGGTACAACTTTAAGTTGTACCTACACTTTCTAATAAATCTCTTTATGGTACAACTCAAAATTGTACCTATACTAATGGTACAACTTTTAGTTGTACCTACACTTTTTCAAAATCCTTCTATGGTACAACCCAAACTTGTACCTATACTATGGTACAACTTTATGTTGTACCTACACTCTCTAACAAATCCCTTTAAGGTACAACTAAAAATTGTACCTATACGAATGGTACAACCTTAATTTGTACCTACACTTTCTAACAAATCCCTTTATGGTACAACTAAAAATTGTACCTATACTAATGGTACAACCTTAAGTTGTACCTACACTTTCTAACAAATCCCTTTATGGTACAACTAAAAATTGTACCTATACTAATGGTACAACCTTAAGTTGTACCTACACTTTTTCAAAATCCTTCTATGGTACAACCCAAACTTGTACCTATAACATGGTACAATTTTAAGTTGTACCTACACTTTCTAATAAATCCTTTTATGGTACAACTCAAAATTGTACCTATACTAATGGTACAACTTCAATTTGTACCTACACTTTCTAATAAATCTCTTTATGGTACAACTAAAAATTGTACCTATACTAATAGTACAACTTTTAGTTGTACCTACACTTTTTCAAAATCCTTCTATGGTACAACCCAAACTTGTACCTATACCATGGTACAACTTTAAGTTGTACCTACACTTTCTAAAAATCCTTCTATGGTACAACCCAAAATTGTACTTATACCATGGTACAACCTTAAGTTGTACCTACACTTTTTCAAAATCCTTCTATGGTACAACCCAAACTTGTACCTATAACATGGTACAATTTTAAGTTGTACCTACACTTTCTAATAAATCCCTTTATGGTACAACTCAAAATTGTACCTATACTAATGTTACAACTTTAAGTTGTACCTACACTTTCTAATAAATCTCTTTATGGTACAACTCAAAATTGTACCTATACTAATGGTACAACTTTTAGTTGTACCTACACTTTTTCAAAATCCTTCTATGGTACAACCCAAACTTGTACCTATACCATGGTACAACTTTAAGTTGTACCTACACTTTCTAAAAATCCTTCTATGGTACAACCCAAAATTGTACCTATACCATGGTACAAATTTAAGTTGTACCTACACTTTCTAACAAATCCCTTATGGTACAACTAAAAATTGTACCTATACTAATGGTACA